TGAAGTGAGGCTTCCGATGTGCAGGATGCGAAGAAGGTGTCCGGGCCAATTGAGGCTCCAGATGTGCAGGAAGGAGGTGCCTGGGCCAAGTGAGGCTCCCGATGTGCGAAGAAGGTGTCGGGCCGAGTGAGGCTCTTGATGTGCAGGATGCGAAGCACTCTTGATGTGCAGGATGCGAGGCCAAGTGAGGCTCCCGATGTCCAGGATGCGAAGCAGGTGTCCGGGCCAAGTGAGGCTTTCGATGTGCAGGAGGCGAGTTTCGGGTTGAGGGTCCAGGGTGTCGGGTTTAGGAGGTTTAGGGTTTAGTAAATTTAGGGTTTAGGACTAAGAGAGGATGTGCTGGAGCTCTCCAACCCCGCCGGGCTCACACATGCAGCTGGCTCCGAGACAGAAATGACAGCCTTCATGAATTGGCACGCAGACCGTACGCGGCTTGAACTGTGTGACTTGGGGTTGCGCGCTAGCAGTGCAGGAGTGGAGCTCCGGATCGTTGTCAACCAAACACCAGTGCGGTCATACAGCTTTGTAGAACACGTGTCGCAGATGCTGCCTGGAGTGAAACTCAGCGGGTGGGCCCAACGTGGAGATGGACAGTAGCGCTGACACGTTCCGACTTTGGCGTGCGGGGAGGTAGCGCAGTGGCCGATGTACGCCAGCTAGATCATTGGATACTGGCATTCCACATCTCCACCGAGCGGCGTCAGCTTCTAGCCCGTCAGGAGCAGGAAAGGCTGGAGAAGCTAAACGCACGCAGCGGCCCGCGGCCGCCAAGTCGATGTCTCAGCCTTTTCGCAGCTCAATGAGAAGCTGCCCAACTTCTACAAGTTCTTCCAGGTCGCCCTGGATTCAGAGCTGTTGGTGCTCGATGTTCTCGGAGACGGTGACTGTGGTGAGCACAGCGTCCTGGCTTGCTGGGGGCTCATGTTGCGACTTGCATTTGCTTGCGTCACATTGTCACTGATACCCTGCCAGGACTCTCCATTTTCTTAACTGGTGTTGCTGATCGCAGTGACTCAGTGCTCCCGTCCATTTGCTTAAAGCGCTGCCCTCAACCACATTCGCTTAACGCGCTGCTCGATAGCACCGCCCAGACCCCTCATTCGTCCTGTTGGGCTGCATCCATCACCTGACTGGCGACCATGTGTCGTGGTAGTGGCCGCCGTTGTTGGACTTGTTGGTTTCTTACTTGCGTCGTTGTCGCCGCTGCCGTCGTCACAGCCACTTTGCCGCTGTTATCTTTCAGCGCTCTGCGCAGGCTATGTTGAGTTGTGTGTGTCTTTGCTCAATGGCATGTGCTGGCGAGCTCCGCAACTGTGCAAGATCAACAGAGAGCAGCCGCCGCAAGGCCTGCTCAAAGAAGATGCTTGCCCTGCCTTGCCTTGTTCAGAGTTCAGAGGCTGGGCTTCTCCACCGTGTGTTTTTGTCACACGTCCCTGTCCCGAACTCAGCCACAGCTGCTGCCACTGAAGTCGTGGAATGACTTGCGCGAGGCCCTGCCGCAGTTGCTCCAGCGCGGGAACACTTCGAGGCCAGGGCACACAGGAACGAGAACGCAAATCTGCGGCTGCCGGTGTTTGGGCTTGTGTTCTCCTCGACGCAAGTTTTTCAGCTCGATAGAGAACAGTACCGGTTTGAAGAAGCCGTTGCCCAATGTCAAGCCATGACAAAGACCTCGACGGGGTCACCGATTTCTTCTTTGTTGAAGTTGGCACGGGGTCTTCCGGGGCCCTTCGCCATTTGGAAACTTGAGAATGTTTAGCGTTTGCTGTTCAGACGCTTTGTTGATGCGCTGCAGCGGCTCCAAGCTTTTGGCTTCCCGACGCACCAGTCCTTTCTTGTGGAAACGCCATGCTGAGCCCTGCCGGCATGTCTTAAGCTCCTACAAAGGGAGCGCCGTGTCAAGCGAAGGCCTCTTCAAGACCTTGGAGGTCTAGCTACCTTGCTTGCCTTGCATTTCACACGCAACCCCACGCCATCCCACACTGCGCCCGCACTGCACCCCATGAAGGGGCGCGAATCCACATAGGCTCAGGGTTTTGATTTTTGAATCTCTTGTCTTTTGGCCATGCTGGTGCTTCTGGTTGCTCGGCGCGGGGCCTCACAGGATACTTGGAGTCCGCCGTCCAGACCAACGGAAGGAGTCAAAAGACTGTGTGAAAGGGTTTTTTCCTCATCCCCCACCCCACCCCATTTCAATCAAGAAACCCTAAACCCTAAGCCCTAAAACTCTTGAAACGCCTAGAGCCCGTAAACCCCTAGCCGGAGGAAGCCCACGCGGCTCGGGGCTTGTGGCTTGTGTTTGGCGAGCAAGCCTTTGGAACCCCTCAGCCCTGAACCCTAAAGCCTAAACCGCAGACCCTTAGCCTTTCCACCCTAAAGCCCATAAGTCCCCTAACTCCGTAGACCGCCGTAGCTTAGGGGTTTAGGGTTTAGGGTTTGGGCTTGCCGCTGGAATGTGGAGGACCACCCTCCGGGTCATGGACAATGGACTTCGGATGATCGAGGACTCCGGGCTGGGGGCGCCCCAGCGCCTACACCTGGGAATTGGGTTTAGGGTTTAGGGTTTAGGGTTTAGGGTTTGGGTTTTCCCTCGTCTCGGGCCCCTTTGCCACGAAGCCCCAACCCCAACCCTGGTTTCCTTGGGAATGCCATATTTTCGTTTATATCAAACCCCATGGAATCCATGGAACGTTAAGCATGCTTTTTAGTACGGTCCTCAGGAAATATAGCTACTACGATGAGGTGTTCTATTCTTGAGCTTCACCTTCCCCTACCCCTAAACCCTGAACCCCAAACCCTACACCCCAAGCCCTAAATCATGGGCCCCTAAACCCTAAATCCTAAACCCTAACACTAAACCCTAAACCCTGCAGTGGGGTTCAGGGCTGAGACTTCGGGGTTCAGGGTGTTTTGGGTACAGGGCTCAGGGCTCCGGGCACTTTGCAGCGGTCTAGGGCTTCAGGGTTAGGGTTTAGGGTTTAGGGTTCAGGGTTCAGGGTTTAGGGTTTAGGGTTTAGGGTTCAAGGGCCCAGTGTAAGGCCATGTCCTCGGACCTGCCTGGGATTTGAGGCGAAGTGCTCTGGGCTCACGGTATAGGGTTTTTGGGGCTTGGGGCTTGGGGCTTGGGGCTTGGGGCTTGGGGTCTAGGGCCCCTGGCTTTTAGGGTTTAATGTTCAGGTCGATTTCGGAAGAGGGCGAGTGCTCTATCCCCAAGCGGGACCTTACTGCTAAACAGTGCGCAGTCCAGGTAGAAAGATGAGAGTGTATACATACATACACAAACATACACATGTACACATATGCATGTGCATACTTGTGTGTCTCTGCAAGCATGTGTGTATGCATGTGTACGTATGCACACACATGATGTTTGATGATGTTCAAGTAGTTAAATTATTGTTTTCTTTCCTGCCATTTTCATGGTTCGATGCTTTGCATTTGCAGTGTTATGGTCGAGAAGTGCAATTATTCCAAATTCCACCCCCCTGCTTGTTTTCATTTCTTCCTTCGTCATTCGATGCGTTTCTGTCACTAATCGAAAATTTTGATGTTTGACATAGGGAAGGTTTCATCGCACATGCTTGGGGCTGTACAGGGAGAGGTTGGGGGAGAGACAGCCCCCCTCCCGATTTGCGAACATTTATGCGGGCAAAGTGGCCCTAATCCTTAAACCCTAAACCCTAAACCCTAAACCCTAAACCCTAAACCCTAAACCCTAAACCCTAAACCCTAAACCCTAAACCCTAAACCCTAAACCCTAAACCCTAAACCCTAAACCTAAACCCTAAACCCTAAACCCTAAACCCTAAACCCTAAACCCTAAACCCTAAACCCTAAACCCCAATCCCTAAACCCTAAACCCTAAACCCCCAAACCCTCACAGTTCAGAGTCTTGGGGGCTCACAGCGAGGAGCTCCAAACGGACAAAGAGCTGGAGAGGCAGCTTGGCCTGATTCGCTTGAGGCCTACCTTGGGAGCCCAGTGGTAAACCCCTAAACCCTAAACCCTAAACCCTAAACCCTAAACCCTAAACCCTAAACCCTAAACCCTAAACCCTAAACCCTAAACCCTAAACCCTAAACCCTAAACCCTAAACCCTAAACCCTAAACCCTAAACCCTAACCCTGACTGCACTTTTTTTAAGGGGCTAAAGGAGGGACCCTTATAAGGGACCTTAGGGGTTCGTTGGGGGTTTTTTAGGGGCTACTTAGGTATATAGGGATTATATAGGGTATATACCCCTTCACGTGGCGACCAGTGTCGGGCACCTTCCGAGCTTGGAGAAACGGTCGGTCTTGAAAAGCTGGGGTTTAGGGTTTAGGGTTTAGGGTTTAGGGTTTAGGGTTTAGGGTTTTAGGGTTTTGGGTTCAGGGTTTAGGGTTTAGGGTTTAGGGTCTAGGGTTTAGGGTTATGATGAAGGCACTTGTCCGACAATGGCTGGCAGACAGTGCTCGTGGTATTGCGAGCAGGTCACGTCATTGGGCCTGGCAGTGTGCCTTCAGCCGGCAGACTGTCGGAGACTGTCTGAGGTGGCCCTCGTCCTCGTCATTCTCCAAGGATCTGACCGCTGATAGACTAGGACCTACTACAGGGGTCGGAATAATTACTCAAGGTATTCCCTTCTGGTCACTTTAGTCTTTTCTTACCCTAAACCCTAAACCCTAAACCCTAAACCCTATATTCGGCCCTCGGCCTTGCTCTTGTGGGTTTAGGCTCCCTTGCAGAGGCCCCTTACGCCAAACAGGGTGCCTGTTTTTTTTTTTCCTAGGTGCTCTTGGGTCCGGTCGACTGGGGCTAGACTGAAAGCCTAAACCCTAATTCCTAAACCCTAAACCCTAAACCCGAAACCCTAAACCCTAAGCCTTAAAAGCAAAGTCCACACCTAAAGGCTGATCCTAAACCAGAAGCCCTAAGCCCTAAGCCCTAAGCTAAGCCCTAAGCCCTAAGCCCTAAGCCCTAAGCCCTAAGCCCTAAGCCCTAAGCCCTAAGCCCTAAGCCCTAAGCCCTAAGCCCTAAGCCCTAAGCCCTAGGCCAGACCTCAGCCCAAAACTTTTTTAGGGTTTGGGGTTCAGGGTTTAGGGTTTAGAGTTTAGGGTTTAGGGCTTAGGGCTTAGGGTTTAGGGTTTAGGGTTTAGGGTTTAGGGTGTGGGGGGGGGGAGTTTTCGATGGCTTTGCCGAGGTGGATCGAAGAGGTCTGGGTCAAGCAGCTCCTTTGGACGCACGCACCGGAGGTTCGGGTTTAGGGTTCAGGGTTCAGGGTTCAGGGTTCAGGGTTTAAGGTTTAGGGTTGAGGGTTTAGGGTTTAGGGTTTTGGGTTTAGGGTTTGCGACCCTAGGCCCTATAAACCCTAACCTTGAGCCCTAAACCCTATACGCTTTAGTAGGGTGTCAGGTTTGGTTGTTTCCGGGCTTTAGGACTTTAAGGTTCAGCCGACTCGGGTTTAGGAACAACCTAAGCAGCCCTAAACCCTAAACTTTAAGTAGCCCAACCCTAAGTAGCCCTAAACCCTAAACCCTAAACCCCAAACCCCAAACCCCAAACCCCAAACCCTAAACCCTAAACCCTAAACCCTAGCCCTAAACCCCAAACCCCAAGCCCTCGGGATCCCCAATCATCCCCCTCGCAGCCCCCCCGAGGTTCGGAAACGTGGCAAAGACCCATGAGATGATCTTCGGAAGCGGAGAGTGAAGCAAGGCCTCATAGGAGTTTAGGGTTTAGGGTTTAGGGTTTAGGGTTTAGGGTTTAGGGTTTAGGGTTCAGGGTCTTAGTAGCCCTAAACCCTAAACCCTAATAAACCCTAAACCTCAATCTTCGGAAGCGGAGAGTGAAGCAGTCGGAAGGCCCTAAGGCTTGCGAGGCCTCGTAGGAGTTAGGGGTTGTGGAGGGAATTAAACTTAAACCCAAAACCACAAGCCCTGTGGGACCTCGTAGGAGTTAGGGTTGAGGGTGTTAGTAGCCCTAAACCGTAAGCCCTAAGCCCTAAGCCTAAACCCTCAATCGTTGCGCAGAAGATGTTGAGGGTTTGAGTCTCGGGAACCACGACATTGTAAAAAGCTCTTCAAGGCTTGTCTTGAGCCCAAACCCTACCCAATTTTTTAGCAATTTTTTTGAACCTGTAGCCCTAGAAGGTCACCCTTAAAACCTAGACGCTAAACCCTAAACCCTAAACAGACCGAAGGGGCTTGACGCCCTCTCCTCTTGGCCTTTGTACAAAGAAAAGCGTGGGAGGGCGCCCTCCCGGTGGGCAGCCCACAGACACAGTGGCCTTTGGTACCTCTAGGCTCTATAGGGCTTAGGGATGTTTAGGGGTTAGGGTTTAGGATTTCCTGAAACCATTAAACCCTAGAGCCCGAAGTCCTAACCCTCACCTACCACAATGTATGAGGTGTGGGGTTTCGTGAAGGCCGCTGATTCATGGCGACTGTACCCGCCCCGCTCTTCCGCGAGACCAGCAAGCGCCGAAATGACCGCAGGGCACTGGGTCTAGGGCCTGGCAGGGATTAGGGTTTGGGGTGTTAGTAGCCTCGTGGTTTGGGGGCTTAGGGGTTGTAGCCTTAAAGACCCCAAACCGAAGGTTACTCTCTACAGTCCGGAGAATCGCCAACATGCGCCCCTCAACGCGCCTGGGAGGCGCAGGGCTTCAAGGCGTTTATTTAGGGTTCAGGGTTCAGGGTTTAGGGTTTAGGGCTTAGGGCTTAGGGTTTAGGGTTTAGGGTTTAGGGTTTAGGGTGCAGGAGGGTTTCTGGGTTGCCCCTACCGAAGTGCTAAACCCCAAACATCTTGAACCCCACACGCCTTTGGTCACCTGAAGAAGCACCGCAACTCCAAACAAAACCCTGAACATCCCTAAGGCCGGGTTAGGGTTTAGTTTAGGGTTTGGGATTTGTGGGGCTTAGTGTTTAGGATTGGGGTTGAGGTTTTGTCAGGCTATGCCCTAAACCCTAAGCCCTGATACCTAAGCCCGAAACCCTATGAGGGTTTTAGGACGTGAAAGGACTCAGCTCAACCCTAAACCCTAAACCCTAAACCCTAAACCCTAAACCCTAAACCCTAAACCCTAAACCCTAAACCCTAAACCCTAAACCCTGTGAGGGTTTTAGAAGGCCACAGGGACGCAGCTCCAAGGCCAAGAGCTTCCGCGAGGCCGCAACGGCCTAGCGGCGGTGGCCACTGAGGACGGCTGGTGCTCTAGGGTTTAGGGTTCAGCGGTTTAGGGTTTAGGTTTTAGGGCTTAGGGTTTAGGGTTTAGGGTTGGGGGGTGAAGACATTGGGACTCAGCCTTACAATCCTCAAAAACCCCAAAAAGCTCCCAAAGACCTTAAATCTGAACAAAAGCCACACTCTAATTACAGGAGTATTCGGGTTTCGGGCTCGTGCGAGAAAAGGCATCAAGACAAAGAAGGGTTCCCTCAAGCCTTCAGGGACTTCAGGGTTCAGGGTTTAGGGTTTCGGGTTTGGGGTTTCTCTGAAAGCCCCAAATACTTAAAGCCAGAACCCCTCCTAAACCCTACACCTAACTGCACCCCCAAACCCTAACACCTCAGCTGCGGAAACACCCCCGATGACTAGGCGGGCCCTGGGAAATTATATATTGTCCCTTATTCGGGTTTAAGAGGATCATAGTCAGGAATATTTTTCAGAGGGTCCTCGGTCTTAAGTGTGAGCAGAACTGTGCCGGTAGCCCTTAAGGCCGGCGCGTCCCATGTGTCCCTATCGTCGCCTTCCTGGCAGTAGGTCACATGTGGGGTGGGCACATAACCTTTTCTTTACAGGTTATCAGCCGTATGCTCTACACTGGGCGTTGCATGAGACCAGGCGGCCCAAGAAGGTCGTTGAATGTCGAAGCAGTTGTGTGTGGCGGTAGCTGTTGTAGGCTCTCCCACGCAGTGCTGCTGGCCCTGAAGCCCCTCAAAGGACATGTTCTGTTTGCGGCTTCAAAATCGCCGCTGCAGCATGGCTGCAACGCCTCTCTTGAAGTGGGGGGTGTGAGCAGAACTGTGCCGGTAGCCCTTAAGGCCGGCGCGTCCCATGTGTCCCTATCGTCGCCTTCCTGGCAGTAGGTCACATGTGGGGTGGGCACATAACCTTTTCTTTACAGGTTATCAGCCGTATGCTCTACACTGGGCGTTGCATGAGACCAGGCGGCCCAAGAAGGTCGTTGAATGTCGAAGCAGTTGTGTGTGGCGGTAGCTGTTGTAGGCTCTCCCACGCAGTGCTGCTGGCCCTGAAGCCCCTCAAAGGACATGTTCTGTTTGCGGCTTCAAAATCGCCGCTGCAGCATGGCTGCAACGCCTCTCTTGAAGTGGGGGGTGTGAGCAGAACTGTGCCGGTAGCCCTTAAGGCCGGCGCGTCCCATGTGTCCCTATCGTCGCCTTCCTGGCAGTAGGTCACATGTGGGGTGGGCACATAACCTTTTCTTTACATTAAGGGCCAGCACCCTAAACCCCAAACCCTAATGATGGGATTGGGGTCCACGGCTCCTCCTTTGTCGGGAACCGTCTCATAGCCAGGCGGCCTCGGTCTCCTGAAGACTATGGGCCTGAACCCTAAACCCCACACCCTGAACCCTAAACCCAAGCCCGAAATTTCGGTCTCCTGACGACGGTGAACCCTAGCCCTAAACCCTCGACCCTAAACCCTAATCACCCTGATTCCTAGCCTTTCAAAGAACCCTAAGCCCTATCAGGGTCCTTGCACCACGATTGATGGCACGTCGCTGGGCTGCGGCCTTCTAGCAGCTGTGTCGGGAGGATCCTGCTCCCAGCGCCTGTTCGTACTGGGGGTGAGCGAAGCAGGCGAAAAAACGGCGGAAATGTAGCTCGATTGGCTTTGCAATCTTCCTGCATTGGTACAAGCCACGGGTGCAGTGCTTGGCAACTTTCTGGAGAGTGCTGCGCGGTCGACGGATGAATGCCAGGACACAAAAGTTTTGTGCCTTTCCACCTCGTCTGGGTGGCTCAGTGAGGAGGGAGCCTGTGAAGCATCGGTGGGCCAGTGAAATTGTCTGTGGCATTCTGCGACTCATGATTCCATCCTTCGGCCTCGAAGTGAGTGTAGAGGAAGTGCTTCGAGGCCCAAGTATTCCCTATTCAGGCAAATGGACCCTGAGGGGGAGCCTTAAACCCTCCCAAACCCTAAGCCCCTAGACAACCCTGAGCCCTGCACCCCCGACCCCTCAGGGTACATAAGCCTGAACTTCAGCGGGGGGTTTACGGTTCAGGGTTTAGGGTTTAGGGGTTCAGGGTAACACTAAATAACCCTAAGCCCCGAACCCCTCAAGAACCCTAACTATGAGCCCTCTGCAGCCCAGCCTGAAAACCCTCAATCCTGAAACCCCAGAACCCTAAAGCCCGAAAGCCCTAAACCGCAAGCCCTAAACCCTAAAACCCTACGCCCTAAGCCCGAAACCCTAACACCCCAAACCTTAACACCTCAAGCCCTAGAACCCTAGGACCCTAGACCCTAGACCCTAAACCCTAAACCCTGAACCCTGAACCCTGAACCCGAAGACCCTAAACCCGAAAACCTCCCAGAGCCCCCAGTCCCCTGAACCCGAAAAGCTTTGCCAACTCGCGAGGATGAACCTGCCGTGCGCGGGGCTCGGCGTGGTCTGGGTAGCAGGGGTTTAGGGTGTGTAGGGTTTAGGGTTTAGGGTTTAGGGCTTAGGGGCTTAGGGTTTAGGGTTTAGGGTTTAGGGTTTAGGGTTTAGGGTTTAGGGGTTTAGGGGTTTAGGGGTTTAGGGGTTTAGGGGTTTAGGGGTTTAGGGGTTTAGGGGTTTAGGGGTTCAGGGTTTACGGTTTGGGGTGTAAGGGTTGGGAGTTTAGGGTTTACCAGTTTAATTAGGGTGAGGGGGGGCTAGGGCTTTGGTTGCAAAGTTTGGGGTTTAGTGCCATTGGAGGTTTTGGAGTAGGGTTTAGTTACCCTAAACCCGAAACCAAAAGCCTTTCTCTTGTCAGGTTGGTTGCCGATAACGATCCTACAATGGCTTCAGATCAAGCGTTTGAGAGCAATGTCTCACACTCAAAATCCTCAGGGCCCCTGAGCCTATGTGGGACATACTTGTGCCCTAAAGCTAGTCTGTTGGAACCTTTGTCTAGCCATTCGCTTATCGATGTTTTTCAGCCCTTTGGTCTGCACTTGAGCGTCTGCTCAGAGACGAACCGTGAGCGCGCCTCCAGCGCCACTCGCAGGACGACATTCTGGCCTGAGAACCGCGCCAAGCTCGCAAGGTTCCTTGCTTCTGCGGGGGGCTCACGTGACCATCCTGAGCTGTTGTGGACACCTCCGTGGAGTGTTGAGGCCCTAAGGCTTCAATTGGACGCGCGGCGGGACCGGACGACTGGTCAGCGGAGTCCCTGCTGCTCTTGCCTGACGACTTTTGGCGACTTTTCGGCGACATTTGGGCTATTTGATATGAGGAAGGCATCGTGCCCGCGGTGTGGTCACGTGCCAGGGTCGTATTGGTCCCGAAGCCCTCGGGTGACGTTCGACCGGTCAGTGTTCTTCCCATGCCATGGAGGATCGGGGCGAAATGCCTGGTTTCGAGTCTTCGCTGCTGGGTCGATGGCATCTTGGGCATCTGCCTGGCCAATTTGCAGACATTTTCAAAACTAGGATGCCCAGTAGTACCCTCATTCCCTTTTTGGGGGGTTTAAGGTTCCCTTATAAACCCCTTTAAGAAAAAAAGGGCACCCTTTTTCAGCCTAACTTACTGGGCAGCCAAGAAGCCGCACGGCACCGAGCTGGTGCTGGGTCCACCTCAACGCGACAGCCCTAGAGTCTCCGGGTGTAAGGGTTTAGGGTTTAGGGTTTAGGGTTTAGGGTTTAAGGTTTAGGGCGTTCAGCCAGCCAGGCGAAGCTTCTAATTAGAATACTCCCTTCAAAACCCAAAAGGAAGAGGCCTGCGCCCTAAACCCTAAACACTCAGCCTGAGTTCCGTCAGCCAATGCCTCTACAAAGCCCTAAACCCTAAACCCTAAACCCTAAACCCTAAACCCTAAACCCTAAACCCTAAACCTTAAGCCTGAGACCCCAAGCCTAAAGACCTTAAAAGCCCTAATCTCCCAACGCCCTAGACCGGTTCTTTACCCTTTTTTAGAGGCTTCTGCAGTATGGGCGTGGGGTCATATTTTAATAGGGTATATAATAAGGGGGTATATAAGCGTACCCATTCAAAGGCTTATAACAAGGGACCATGTACCCATTCAAAGGCTCATAACAAGGGCCATGTAACTACCCTTAGCGCTACCTGGGACCCTCTTTACCTACAGTTTTGTGGGTTATACCTACTAATTTTTAGGGTCCCTAAAACCCTAAAGGGTATACGATCAGCCCTGTCCAATGCAACTGCCCGCGGAGAGCTGTGTAGGGTTTAGGGTTAAGGTTTAGGGTTTAGGGATGTTTAGGGTTTGGGGTTTGGGGTTTAGGGCCACCGCTCCAGGCCCTGGTTGCCCAAGGCGGCTTGTCCGAAGGCATAAGAGCTGCAGGTTCGGGCTCACGTTTGTTGTTGTGTGTTTTTACTTGATGGTGTTTTTGTTTTACTAAAGGTGTTTTTTTGTACTAAAGGTGTTGTTTTTTTGCAGTGTTTTGTGGTGTTTATTAGGGTGTTGGCGTTTATGGTTTGCGTTTTGTTTATTTTTTTAAGTGTCTTAGGGCCTTTTTGGGGAGCCGAGAAGGGATTTCGGTGTTGAGGGTTTAGGGTTTAGGGAGGTAAGCTTCTCCTTGCTTCTTATGGCTTGAATATTAGATTGGGGGGGGGGGGGAGAGTTCATTTGGGCTCACCCTAAACCCTAAACCCTAAACCCTAAACCCTAAACCCCAAACCCCAAACCCCAAACCCCAAACCCCAAACCCCAAACCCCAAACCCCAAACCCCAAACTCCAAACCCCAAACCCCAAACCCCAAACCCTAGGCTGGGTTGGGTGGCTACAGGGGGTGTAGGGCTCACGTAAATATGCATATATTGGGGCCTCAGCCCTTGGCCACTGCAAGACGAATATCCATGCTGGGCCCCCATAAGGCCTTAGGTTTCTTTTGGGTTCCCCTGCTCAAGTTTAAGGTTTAGGGTTTGGGGTTTAGGGCTACCCCCCCCCGCCTCTATACTACCCCCCCCCCCCCCCCTAGGTTCCCTAGATAATTAGGGCTATCTAGGGATACTTACGCTCAAATGAAGGTTATTTAAGGGGGAACCTAGGGGGTGTGGTGTAGAGGGGGGTAGTAGGGAAACCCATGAGTTTCGGGTTTAGGGATGAGGGTTTAAGGCTTGGTAACACCTAGAACCTACAGCCTAACCTCAATGAAGCATCCCGAAGCCCTATGCACCCTAAACTCTCCAACCCTAAACCCTAAACCACTCCAACCCTAAACCCTAAACCCTAAACTTGGCCCTAAACCCTAAATCCTGAACCCTAAACCCTAAACCCAAACAACCCACAGCCATGCTCACTAAACGTCCTAAACCCAAGGAAAGCGATGCCAAGGAGCTCTACCCTCCGGTGAGCCAGCATTCCTCCCGCGACCCGGTGCAGCAGCTGCACCAGACGCAGGCCGGTTTAGGGTTTGGGGTTTGGGGTTTAGGGTTTGGGGTTTTAGGGTTTAGGGTTTAGGGTTTAGGCAGGGGATAGGGGATCTAGGGGGAAGAGGGCTCGTCCTCTTTTTTTTTTTTTGTTTTGCCCTTGCTCCGGGCCGCTTGGGGAAGTCAGCATGTCTTCAGCTTCGCAGCTCTTTGGGGGGCTTAGGGTTTTACCGTTTGAGGGTTTCAGGGGTTTTAGGGTTTAAGGTTTCGGGTTCAGGGTTTTAGGGTTTTACCATCTTAGGGTTTCAGGGGTTTCAAGGGTTTCAGGGGTTTTAGGGTTTGAGGGTTTTGGGCTTTGAGGGTTGGGGATATGTTTATTTCCCATCTTGCCTTGTAAGGGAACCTATTTCATCAATAGTTTCCAAAGGGCTTAAAGCACAACAAGCTCAGTCGTGTGCTTCAAGTACCAGATGATTGCCAACAAGGGGTTTTGTGCGTCTAGCCGAGAGTACGGGCGCATGCCACATGAACACAAATGCCCTGGGTTTAGGGCGTCTGGTACGACAGAGCACTCAGGGCACGTGACATGTGCCCTGAACCCCAAACCCACAACCCCAAAACGCTAAAATCCTTAAGCCCTCAAACGCTACTCCCCCTGAAACCCTAAACCCCAAACCCTAAACCTTCGGGATTTTTTGGGAATAGTTTTTCAAATTTTTTGGGTACTGCAACTCCTAAGGAAACAGCTACAATTAAAGTTTGTGGTAGGGTTCCAAGTTCAGTATAGAAACCCTAGACCCTAAGCCCCTAAAGCCCTGAGCCCTGAATTCTTGGAGGCCCTCCATGTGCCCAAAACCAAAAAACCACAAAACCATAAAACCATAAAACCATAAAACCCCAAACCCCAAACCCTAAAGCCCTAAACCACAAACCCCAAACCCTAAACACAAAGACACCTAAACCCTAAAGCACGAACCCCTAACCCCAAAGCCCTAAGCCCTGACCCCTTGCCCTTAGGCTCAAATAGCCCTAAGGCCTTTGGGCCCAAAAACCTTAAACAACACGAGTCCCTGGAGCCTTAGGGAAACACCCGAAACTCGAAACCCTAAAACCGGAAACCTCTAAACCTTATAAGGGTTGGTGGTCTCTTTGAGTAGAGTTTCTGTTTTATAGGGATATTCGGGGTTCTTATCTGGGTATCTGGGGGCGACATCAAGGTATAAGCGCAACAGATAACGAGGCCACCGGGCTGAACAACCTAAACCCTAGGTTTAGGGTTTAGGGTTTAGGGTTTGGGGTTTGGGGTTTAGGGTTTAGGGTTTAGGGTTTAGGGTTCAAAGCCCTAAGCCCCGAACCCTTGCCAGGTCAGCAACAAGATCTCTTACTCCAGCTGCGCCAACAGCGGGGCCGTCTCCTTTACGCTCCTGGCGCAGGCGTTTGAGAAACGTAGGGTTTAGGGTTTAGGGTTTAGGGTTTAGGGTTTAGGGTTTAGGGTTTAGGGTTTAGGGTGTGGGGCTTAGGGGTTGGCTGTATGAAGCACAAGGGGATGTTAGTAAAATTTGTTTTTGTTTTTTGCCAGGGTTCTAAGGGGGAGTAGAGCTTCTTCCTGGTCCCTCCGCATGCTGCGGGTTCAGGTTTAGGGTTTAGGGTTTAGGGTTTAGGGTTTAGGGTTTAGGGTTTAGGGTTAGGGTTCAGGGGCCTAAGCCTTTAAAGCACAGAACCGGATCTCCCCAACCCCACACAACCGAACCACCCTAAACCCTACCCCCGAGAAATAGCTTGAAGCAAGAATGGTCGACAGAATTACGACTAAGTAAACCCCAAACTCTTAGATCCTAAACTGGCCAAAGCTCCGAGTCCCCAAAAGGCCTGAGCCCCCCCAACCCGAAAATGCCCCTGAGCAGACAACCTCGAAGCTCCCCCCCCCCCACCTTCCTGGCGCCCAGCCGAAAGGCTACGTAAACCCATTTAGTTTTAGGGTCTAGGGTCTAGGGCCAGGGTTTAGGGTTTAGGGTTTTGGGTTTAGGTTTCTAAACACCCGCCCCGCCCCCCCCCCCCCCCCAAAAAAAAGAAAAAAAAACAACAACAACAACAACAACAACAACAACAACAACAACAACAACAACAACAACAAACAAAAAACACAAACAAACAATCCAAAACCATCCCGAAACAGAACATCAACATCTCGGAGCTCTGCGCCCGCAGCAGCCTGGCGTCGGCCTTCAAGGCTGTTCGGTGCACCTGGGAAGGGGAAGAAAACCTCTGAGTTTGGGGTTCAGGGTTTAAGGTTTCGGGTTTCGGGGTTGGGGGTTGGTTTAGGGTTCCAGAGTTTAGGATTTAGGGTTTGTTTAGGGTTGAGGCTCAGAGGTGTAGGGTTCAGGGTTTGGGCTTCCAGGGTTACATAGGGTTTAGGGTTTCGGGTTTGGGCTTAGAGGTGTGGGGCTCTAGGGTTTTTGGGTCTAGGCATGGAGACAGGAGGCATCCTTTGCATTGCCAAATTGCCTTTGTACGTAGCCCCAAAATGGTCCCTAGAGAGCCCCGAATTAGCGTCCTTGACGATGACTCCAAACCTTGTGTTCGAAGCCCGAAGCCCGAAATCCTGAACCCTGAGCCCTAAACCCTAAACCCCCTAAGCCCTAAACCCATGAGCCAGGGATAGTCCGCGATTAGCGTTTAGGGTTTAGGGCGAAGTCTCCCCAGAAAAAGCCCAAACCCCAAAACCTGAGAATGGATGAAAAAAGCCTAACCCTCTAAACCCTGAACCCTGAACCCTAAACCCTAAACCCTAAACCCCAAACCCTAAACCCTAGCCCTAAACCCTAAACCCTAAACCCTAAACAGCCCCAGACCCTGGAAGGCAGCCATCCAGTCGGCTGTGGCGCAGGAGCCGCGCTCCGGGCGCTGAACCCTAAACCCTAAACCCTTAACCCTAAACCCTAAACCCTTTATCCTAAACCCTAAACCCTAAACCCTAAACCCTAAACCCTAAACCCTAAACCCTAAACCCTAAACCTAGGGTTGGATAACCCCTAAACCTTAAACCCTTTGGGGGGTGCCTTTCATGGCAAGCCCCCCTGAGCGAAGATTTCGGCTCCCCTAACCTCGAAGCCCTAAAGTCTACCTGGGACTCTATAGGGTTTAGGGTATAGGGTTTAGGGGTTTAGGGGTTTAGGGTTTAGGTTAGGGTTTAGGGTTTAGGGTTTAGGGTTTAGGGTTTAGGGTCCTACAGTGTTCATGGGCTATCCCTATTAGCTAAGGGGATGTTATACAGGTCTAGGGCCCTAACCCTAAACCCCAAAAACCCTAAACCCGAAAACCCTAAGCCCCAAAAACCCTAAAAGCCCTTAAGCCTCAAACATAGACCCTTAATACCCTAAACCCAAAAAAATCTTGGCCCCTAAAAGCCCCAAACCCCTAAAACAAAGCCCCCAAGTCCAAACCCACACCCTCAACCCTCAACCCTAAACCCTAAACCCTGGGTTTAGGGTTTAGGGTTTAGGGTTCAGGGTTCAGGGTTTAGGGTTTAGGGTTTAGGGTTTAGGGAAAAAGAAACCCAAAGTCCAAACCCACGTCAGGAGCTGGGCCAGAGCTTCCTGCCGGAGTACGTGGACGTGCGGCTGAGCCCCCACTCCGCGGCCATTCCCGTGGTGCCTGGACCTTCCAAGAAAGCCCTGTAAGCCCTCGAAAGCCTTAGGCCCTCCTGAACCCCTAAACCCTAACCCTTAAATCCTAAGCAGCCTTAAGCCCAGGATGCTGAGAGATACCCTTGTTGCCTGTGTTGCGCGTTTAGGTTCCCTGATAAGTCCCTTTAAGGAAAAAAGGGCACCCGTTTTGATCCTAGCTGGGCAACCTAGTAAGGTTCCCCAGTTGCCTACCCCCCATGAACCCGGGTTTAGGGTTTTCTGAGGGGTGTGTTGCAGGAGTTGGGGGGTCTCTAAGAGTAGCTTTATGGGTGTATAAGAGGTCCCCTTTTCAGGGCCCCATGTAACTACCCTAAGAAAGCCCTCAAAGCCGCAAACCCCCAGAAGCCCTCAAGCTCTAAAGGCCTTACAGCTACTTCCCCGCCCCCTTCCCCATGATAAACCTTGACCCTTATACCCAAAGAGCCCAATATAGCTTAATTCAGGAATATACCTTAAATCATATTAAGGATCCCTATATGATTTAAGAATATTCCTTAATTAAGCAATATTGGGCTCTTTGGGTACCCTAAATCCCGCAAACACCCCATACTCGCGACACCTTTAAACCCTGGCTTTCAAGTAGTAAGGACAATTTTGTGACCACAACACACACACACACACTCCACACACAGTTGACTGCATTGCAAGGCTTCGCATCCTAAATCCCTAAACCCTAAACCTATACCCTAAACCCTAAACCCTAAACCCTAAACCCTAAACCCTAAACCCTAAACCCTAAACCCTAAACCCAAGGTGGTGCTGCCTCCTGCCGGGATGTCGGCGAGGGAACTGCATGCTCAGCTCTGCACGCGACAGCTGCCTGGGTGGTCTGTGGCAGGCAGCTTGTGTCGGGTTTAGGGTTTAGGGTTTAGGGTTCAGGCTTCAGGGTTTAGGGTTTAGGGTGTCGGGGAGGGGGTGATCTAAGAGAGCTTCTGGGAGGAAACCTCAGCCCCTGAGCTCCACCTGAACCTTAAACTGGGTCATACTTGGAAAGCGTTTTACATTTTTTAGGTACTTAAAACCCAATTAGGAATAGACATGTACTTTTTTGATTACTATCCCTACAATGAACTAATAAACCCTAAGCCCCAAACTTATAAACCCCAAACCGATCCATCCCTGAATTATGTGTCTCCTTCGATCGCCCGAAGTACCCTTATATAGCCCCGGTAGAAGCCCTGCATAAGGTGATTACCATACCAGCCGTTGAGGGCTTTGTGCTTGGGGTGGCGCAGAAGAAGCCCTAACCCCTAAACACCCAACCCTAAACCCCTAAATCCCAGACCCTAAACCCTAAACCCTAAAATCGGAGCGAACGCCCTAAACGCTACAAATGAGTTTAGGTGGCAGCCGTGGGCCCCAAAATCGCTTGAAACCCCAAGAGACGCTAACCCCCTAAGCCACCCTTAGGGTTTAGGGTTTAGGGTTCAGAGGTGTAAGTTTTGGGAGGTTTAGGGTTATGGTTTCAGGCTTTGGGGCCTTGGGTTTCCTAGAGCCTATAACTCCCAACCGTATACAACCCCAAACACTAAGCCCCCTAGAGCCTATAACTCCCAAACCCTATAATTAACCTTAGACCCCAAACCCTACCCCCATTTGACCCGAAAAACCCTACAATCCTATCACCCTTCAACCCTCAACCCTAATCCCTATAACCATCAAACCCTAAACCCTAAACCCCAAACCCTAAACCGCAAACCCCTTTTTCCCCGAAGGCCGCGTCGCCAGCCTCGAGGGGTTTCGGAGCGTCTGCCTCTCCTCCCTCTGGGCCTGGGGCCTAGCTGGGCTCAGGCTTTAGGGTTTAGGGTTTATGGGTTCGGCGTTTAGGGTTTCGGGTTTTCGGTTTCGGGTTTGGGGTTTAGGGCTGAGGGTTTCCGGTTTCAGGGCCCTAAACCCTACAGTGAAAAACCAACCCTCTAAACCCTAAACCCTAAACCCTACACCCTGAACCCCAATCCTCCCGAGCGTCTGAAGGTCCTGTGCAGCGTGGGCATGCCCTCGGTGGTGGCCGCGGCGTGGCCGCAAGATTGAGGGTTTAGAGTCTAGAGTTTAGGGTTTAGGGCTAGGGTTTAGGGTTTAGGGTTTAGGGCTAGGGTTTAGGGTTTAGGGAGTTTTGAGCCACTCGGGGGCTTATAGAGGCGGTTTCGGCACCTCTTCGAATTGAGGGGCATCCCCAAGACCGCGCTAAGCCTCAGAAGCCTGATGCTGCCCCAGAACTCCAAACCTTCAGCCCCATAGCCTGAACCCTAAGCCCTATGGTTTAGGGTTTAGGGTTGCAGGCCCTTAAAGCAGTCTGAGGGTAGTTTCCTCCAAGCTCCTTTAAAGGGTTCTGATGTATGGGCCCTTCATTTGTATAGGGTATCCCCTTAATGTACTCCTAATGTGGCCCTTATATCACGTGGACCTCCCTTAGAAAGCCCTAAACAAACCCTAAACCCTACACCCGACATCCTACACCCTAAACCGCCTAAAGCCTAAACCGCTAAACCCTAAACCCTAAACCCCAAACCCTAAACCCTAAACCCTAAACCCTAAACCCTAAACCCTAAACCCTAAACCCTAAACCCTAAACCCTAAACCCTAAACCCTAAACCCTACCCCTAGAAAGACCTGTAAGGGACCCGAGGTCGCCTCAGACGAGTTGGCGTCCACCACGGTCTCCGCGGGGTCTCCGCTGGCTGCAGCCGGGTGGCAGCCATCAACCCGTTTGGGGTTGAGCGTTGAGGGTTTAGGGTTTAGGGTTTGGGGTTTAGGGTTTGGGGTTTAGGGTTTAGGGTTTAGGGTTTGGGGTTTAGGGTTTAGGGTTTAGGGTTTAGGCCTAAGCGCACTCTAGCTTTTTTTCAGCCGACATGAAGAATCCCGGGTGGTCGGGCCTAGGTCTGCTTGCAGAGCTCCTTACAAACGGTTAAGAAACCTCAGAGCCCCCTTCACCACAGCAAAGTTAAAGCAAGGCCCCACAACCTGAAGGATCCCACATTCCAGCAAGCCCCGTAAACCCCAAACCGTAAACCCTAAACCCCAAACCCAAGCCCCTCCCTAATCCCTAAACCCCAAACCCTAGACCCTGAAAGTAAACCCCAAAGCTTCGCAACCCCTACCTCTCCCAAGAGCCCAGGATTTTGGGGCCCCCCTTTTAGGGTTTAAGGTTTATAGGGGCTTTAAAGGGTTTAGGGCTTAGGGCTTAGGGCTTACGGTTTGTGGCTGGAGGTTTTGGGGGTTTAGAGGTTGGGGCTGAGGGGGTTTAGGGTAGGGGGGTTTGCCGATTGGGGGTTTAGGGTTTTGGGGTTCAGAGGTTCAAGGTGTTGGGCTTAAAGGTTTAGGGATTCGGGGTTCCGGGGCTTACTGTTTGAGGTTTAGGGTTTAGGTAACGGGATTTGGGGCTTTAGGGTCTTGGGCTCGGGTTTCGGGATTTTCGGGTTTTTGGGGTTTAGTGTTTTCTGGCTTGCGGGGGGTCCAAAAGGCACTTAGGGTAAAAGGGTCGAGGGTCCAAGGTAAGGGCCTTTCGGAACCACTTGCGGGTGCGGCTGTGGCTGCATGGAGGTGTATGAGGCGTGGTGGCCGGAGATGGAGGAGGAGGAGGGTCTGGAGATCGACTGCTTGGTGCTGCTGCAAAGGCTTTACAGTACCAACACGTCGAGTGGTGGTCGCTTGACAGGATCGGAGTTTGCTGAGGGCAAAGAAGGCGCCGGGATATTATCGGCAGAAAATTAAACGGTACAGAAAACAACGGCAAAATGAATTTGCCAACCCACTGCGCAGGGGGGGGGGGAGGGGGGTTAGGTTAGGCTTTAGGGTTTAGGGTTTAGGGTTTAGGGTTTAGGGTTTAGGGTTTAGGGTTTAGGGTTTAGGGTTTAGGGTTTAGGGTTTAGGGTTTAGGGTTTAGGTGAGAGGCATGGCTTCGGCAGCAGGGCAGCGTCCCTGAGGACCTAACTCCCAGTTAACGTCGTCGACCCTAAACCCCTAACCCTGAGCCCCAAACCCCAAACCCCAAACCCCAAACCCCAAACCCCAAACCCTAAACCCTAAACCCTAAACCCTACACCCTAAACCCTAAACCCTAAACCCTAAACCCTAAACCCCAAGCGAAAGAGCCAGCCAAGGAGGCCCTGGAGCCCCAGGGGACCGGGAGCCTCGAGGTGCCAGAGGCGGTGCCTCAGGCGCCGGCTAGGGTTTAGGGTTTAGGGCTAGGGTTTAGGGTTTAGGGTTTAGGGTTTAGGATTTAGGGTTCCGGGTTTAGGGTTTAAGGCTTAGGGCTCAGGGCTTAGGGTTTAGAGGGCGGTTTATGTCAAAAGGCAAACCCTAAACCTCCGAGTCCGCTGCGCAAAAACTATAGGAATGGGAACCCCACCCCCCCCCCCCCCCCCCCCCCCCCCCGCAAAGGAACCATCACGTCGAGAAAGCCCCAAAGATAAAGATCGCGAGTTTAAGGTTTGAGGGTTTTCGGGTTTTAGGGATTTAGGGTTTTAGGGATTTAGGGTTTTATGGTATTAGGGTGCCAGGTTTTTGGGTTCAAAGTTCGGGTTGGGAGGGTAATAGTAGCCCTAATCCCTAGGCCCTAAACCCAATTAAACCCTAAACCCTAAACCCTCAACCGCTTTATTTGTGTTTTGCAATTTGGGGTCTGCTCACAGGCCTCAGCGGTGTTCAAACCCTTATTTGGTATTTGTTTAGAGGTTTGCGAGGCTTTGGGGTTTGAGATTTCGCGGTTTAGGGTTAGGGTTTAGGGTTTAGGGTTCAGGGTTCAGGGTTCAGGGTTCAGGGTTTAGGGTTTAGGGTTTAGGGTTTAGGGTTTAGGGTTTAGGGTTTAGGGTTTAGGGGCTTGACCGCTGAGAGTTCTGTACGGTTGAGGGAGTTAGAGAGGGCATTTTTCGAAAGTTCTAGGGTGTAAAACTGAGTTTTCTTTTCGGAGTTCCAGTTCGTGGGCCCGGATCTGCAGGACGAATCCGAATCCATCCCGCGTCCGCAGAGCCTCCAGCGCCGCGGCTTTTTGAGAGGTTTAGGGTTCAGGGTGCAGGGTTTCGGGTTTAGGGTTAGGGTTTAGGATCTTCCTGAAGGGCTGAGGTTTTCTTGAGGGGATTCAGGGACTCCCAGATCACCTGACCAAAGCCTGTCCCCAACCCCCTTCACAGTACCCGAGAAACCCAGGGTTACTTGTAGATAACTGCTATGTGCTTCAGAATCCGTCAAAGGCAAGATATATCAATCCCTATATTGCCCTTCTCAGGAAAAACATGGGTTCCTAAGCAAATAGTAGCCCTGAAACTAAGTCCTAAACCCATTTTGGGGTGATCTTAAGCAAATGGTAGGTTCAGGGTTTATGACAAGGCCAACTTTCGGGACTCTCAGGTAAACTGGGTTATAAGGGTTATAAGACTACCCTAATAAACCCTAAACCCTAAAGCCTAAACCCTAAACCCTAAACCCTAAAGGGTTATAAGGGTTATAAGGGCAACAAGGGGTTCAGGGTTTAGGCCTCGACCCTGAAACCCTTAACCATCAGCTCTCCATTCAACCGTAGCCCTTAGGGTTTAGGGTTTAGGGTTTAAGGTTTAGGGTTTAGGGTCATTCATAGGATCCGAGCGGGGGGCTGGAAACGGAGGCCAAGTCTACACCTGAAGCGTAGGTTATAAAGCCTCCATCCAGAAGCCCAAAACACCCAAATGCCCCAGACGACCCAACACCCATGGCCCATCATAGCCCTTGAGGTATATGTAGGGGAATAAGATTCAGGGTCCCTTCTAGGGGTCCCTCCTTATTGCCTTAAACCCGAAAACCCTAAACCCTAAACCCTAAACCCTAAACCCTAAACCCTAAACTCTAAACCCTAAACCCTAAACCCTAAACCCTAAAACCTAAACCCTAAACCCTAAACCCTAAACCCTAAACCCAAATTAAACCTAAACCCTAAGCCCCAAGCCTTAAGCCCTAAACCCTAAACCCAATGCCACAGCCCTGCAGAGGCGCTCGGGACACACGCCCCGCGAGCGCCCGGACGGGCGTGCCAAGGCCGCCGCGCGGCGGCCGGCGGCCAAGCGGGCGCCGAAGCAGGCGCCCTGGGAGTTATGAGGGTTAGAAGGGTTTAGGGTTTCCGGGTTATAAGAGCTACATGGGGTTATAAGGGGTTATAACGGCTATTATAACGGCTATATCGGCTATATCGGCTATAACGGTTACGGCTGAAAGGTTCCGGGGTTTAAGCGCTCAGGGGCCTCATAGGGGTTTAGGGGTCTAGGACCCGGGTGGGTTTTGGGGTTCGAGGGGCCCCTAAAGGCTCACTTTTGACTGCGAGACATGAGGGTCTACGTACTACTGTATTTCGATTGAATCCAGGCAGCTACAGGGCATGCCTCTTTACATGTCAACTGTCCTTCGCAGATTTAGGGCTTGAGGGATTTGAGGTTGTGAGGGATTTGGAGTACGGGTCGCCAGGAAGCCAAAGTGGCAGTTTCTATTTGCCCTGTTGGGAGGGGGGGGGGTGTGGATTCCTTCACAAGTCCAGCAGAAACAAAAGGTTTTGAATGCATGCTACGGTTACCCCGCTACCGAGTTAAAGTAACAGTGCCTAGTGGCAATTACCCAAGGGATAACTATAGTGACAAGTACTTGTTAGTGCAACTGTTGCTTTTAAACAGGAGGAAGCAACTTATTCCCAACTCATCATGCTAGGCTCCCTGAACCAAGACCTGATCTAAGATCTATACCAAAAAATAGAGACTTTGTTTGCGATTTAGTTTGAGACAGATAATTCATGGTATGGGGCCGCCAACAACGTCCGTTTGCTCGTGCCCAGCTTTCGTTGCTCCACTGCGGCTTAAAGTTCCCCCCCCCCCCCACCCCAACCGTTCAAGTTACCCGAATACCCGAAATACACCTAATAAGATGCACTGAGGCCCTGATGAAGGGGTACCTGGGGGGTGTACCAGATTTCCCCTTGAGCCCTAAAAACCGAAACCTTGAACCCTAAACCCAAACCCTAAACCCTAAACCCTACAGCCCTACTCTTGAGATGTGTCATGAACGCAGGCGCCCGACCGGCCGAAAGCCAAGAGCTCTGGCAAGGCCTGCGAACCGATGGTACATGGGTCGGTCTCCAAATTATCATGGGTTCCCTACTACCCCTATGTTTTAGGGTTTATGGTTTAGGGTTTAGGGTTAACCCCCTCTATACTGCCCCCCCCGCCACCCCCCTAGGCTCCACCCATGGCTATTTAGGGATAATTAAGCCTAATTCAGAAAGGGGGGTAGTACAGGAACCTATGAAGGGTCCCGTTTTGGGGTCCTATGTATAGTACGGCACATTACCCTAAAGAGAACGACCCTAAGCCCCTAATCCCTAAAACCTAAACCCTAAACCCAAAAGGGACCCAAATTTGAGAACTACCCACATCAGGGTTGAACTTAAGAAACGAAACCCATTTTGATTTGTTTCGGCTTAGGGTTTAGGATGTGGGGTTCAGGGTTTAGGGTGCTATTTTTAAGGCCCTAGTAAGAATCGTAGGGAACCTACCAAAAAGTCAGTGTTTCAGCGTGTTCCAACCCTTCTTTCGTACACAGTTAGATGTAGACGCGGCTTGATACGCAAAGCCTCGAACTCCTGAGAGGATCAGGATCTAGAAAGTAGACCCCCAGTTCTGTAACCACTAAATGCCGCCGCCACCACCACCACCACCACCACCACCACCACCACCACCACCACCACCACCACCACCACCACCACCACCACCACGACCACTACACTACCACTACCACTACCACTACCACTACCACTACCACTACCACTACCACTACCACTACCACTACCACTAACTGCCACTGCCACTGCCCCTGCCCTTGCCACTACCACTATTATTCCAACCGGATAGTTTAATGGACCCTCGTGGCGTCGACCACCCCGTCGTCATCATGATTTGGCTTCCATGAATGTGGGAAAGAACGCGGCTGCCAAAATCGCCTGTGCCCTTGTTGCTCGGCTGGCCGAGGAGGCCCGGATAGACGGGGCACCTTCACCGAGCTCTCCTCAAATCCACGAGGAGGTACATCGCCAAGAAGAACAAGCCTTGATAGCTCGCATAATGACGGACGAAGACTTCGAGAATTTAATCGAGGACGTGCCCATCGAGCAAGCCTTGAGCTTGGACTCAGAATTTCGTCGAGTCGACAGTCTGTTCCCGTCACAATTATCGGTTTTGCGCCTGCGGGAAGTGGACATCAGTTTTGCAAGTGCCGCACATCTACTTGCTAGAGCCTTCCAGTGGTCTGGGAGTTCAACACTCTAAACCCTAAACCCAGCCGCTGAGCCCTAAAGCCTTGAAGCCGAAGTGAATTTGGGGTGGCAAGTAGATCATGTCCCCTAGCGGCTGATGTTCTAGGGGGCTAGCGGAGGGGAGGGGGGCGGGTTAAGGGTGTAGGGTTTGGGGCGTAGGGCTTAGGATTTTGGGTTTAGGTTTAGGACTCTAAAGTTCCCCAAGCCTCAGTGAACCCTAGCCCCTGAAGCCTCCAAACCACGTAAGCCCCGAAATCTGCTGCAGGGGTCTATAGGAGGATGGGCTGTAGGACGAGGGCTTTGGGAAATTCAGACCTGAAAGTTATTCAAAGGGGTGGCCCTTTTTGGGGAAAGGTTTGGGGTCCCAAGCCCGCAACACTACAAACACGACCGCCGAAACCCTAAACCCACCCTACGCCCTAAACCCTAAACCCTAAACCCTAAACCCTAAACCCTAAACCCTAAACCCTAAACCCTAAACCCTAAACCCTAAACCCTAAACCCTACACCCTACACCCTACACCCTACACCCTACA